AATTCAATTCAATTCATGTTTATTTACGTGCAGTAACTTAACAGCACAGTGGCTAATAATAATAATAATAATAATAATAATAATAATAATATAATAATAATGTGTAAGGCGAGTACATATTTTTTTTCTGAGGAGCCAGGTAAAGGATCGCTTCTTTCGGCGTTAAAAAAGCCGGAGAATCCAGTGTACACAAGAAGTAACACGTTTGATTGTCTGCTTTTTGGTCCGTTAACGTAACTAAAATAAAAGGACAACTGGTTGAATACCCGTACACTTGGTCCAATCCTGTGTACATTAAGCCCGTGATTGAAATTCCTGCTTTCTCATTTTACTACAGAATATTTATGATTCTGCTGTGTTGAACGTAACTTAGGAGAAGTCAAATCGGATAGAATATCACAGCCATTTCTGTCCCCCGATTTAATTCCACTAGACTTTGTTTTAGGGTTTAGTTGATCCCTCAAGTGCAGGTTGGTTAGAATAGCTCCATCATAGCCCTGAGAGTCGAGAAGGCAACGAAAGGGAACCCGGTGCCTGAGAGTATAACTGGGCCACCCTGTCATGGGGGGACGTAAATACAGAGACCCGGTCCTCCAGGTTGGAGGTTTGACGCAAGGCTGACGACCTCACTGTGCAGAAAAAGAAAACTGTTTCGAAATCTAAGGGCGGCCGCACACCAACTGCGTAAAGATAAGCATCAAGTCATGAGACAAAAGACGCAGTCTTGCTTCATTCGTGATTCGTCAGCATGAAGCTGACGTCAGCATTATGACTCAGACCGGTGTGCGGCGGTGTTCATAATCTCTTTCGTTTCAAATGTGCTCCTTTCTTTGCGTCATGTCGTAGACATAGTGTCTTGACGCCTGCCGGTGTGCGGCCTACATAAAGGATTAAAAACCAAATGTTCTATCTTCTAAGGAAGGCTATGGTTCCAAAAAGCCTGTCTAGAGAATGGTGATGATGATGATTATAATGATGATGTTGGTTATGATCGTTAGTGAAGGATAATGAATGCTTTCCATCTTTGTATGGCATCGTTGGTTGTCTACGTGAAAGAATTACATTCACAGATGCAGAAATTACGCCGAGCAAGCTACTTGGGACTTGGGAAGAAATTTGTCATAGGTGGGATAATTGTCATGCTACATCCGAAATTCATATAGAAATGTGACATTAATAAATCAGGCAAAACTTTATGTTTTTGGCTACATTGTTATGCTTTATTTTGATTTACCATTTATTAACATTTTTATATATATTTTTTTAGATTTGTAAATTTATTTGATTTGTTTCATTCTGGTCCGTCACTCTAACAATATCATGAAAATTTAAACAGTTCCGTCCAGTGTGAATGGTGAAGATTTTTCTTACTTCAATTATTCATGCCCTTACATGTTTCGATCTTCAGAGACCATCATCAGAGGGACACCTTTACACCAATACAGTTGGAGGCTACTATAACAATATATGTTCTGAATGTTAAAATGTATACATATAAAATAATATAGAATTGGGTATAAAATCTAAGGTCTTTAAACTACAGCGGCTGTTCTAATACTTTGAAATATTTATAATTGGTTTGTTAAGACACTATTTGAATTCATAAACCAAGAAGGTTTGTGTCATCCTTCTTATTAACAACACAGGGAGCCACAAACACATACAGTACAACATGAAAGAACCCTCTTCTCGAGAAGGACAAGGGGGCTCAGGTTCGACCCCCATCAAGAGACATAATAAGAGGGACGACACGAACCTGCTTGGTTTACGAATTCAAATAGAGTCTTAACAAACCAATTACAAATATTTTAAAGTATTTGAACAGCCGCTGTAGTTGTAAAGGCTTTAGATTTTATACCCAATTGTATATCATTGTATATGTATACATTTCAACTTTCAGAACGTATATTGTCATAGTAGCCTCCATTGATGTAAAGGTGTCCCTCTGATGATGATCTCTGAAGACCGAAACATGCAAGGGCCTAAATAATTTAAATAAGAAAAATCTTCACCAGTCACAATGGACGGAACTGTTTAACTTTTCGTGATATTGTAAGTTTACTTCTGAAACAGCCAGAATTTTTTTGTGGGGGGGGCGGTGAGGCTGAATCCACTTGGTACTGCGGCCACTACTGACTTTTTGTACCAGCACCAGATGATGGTGGTGATTGTGGAGCAATTGGTGGAATGAAGTTTGGCAGAGTAAACCGAAGTACTCGGATAAAACCTGCCCCAGTGCCACTTTATCCACCACGAATCCCACACGACTAGACGCGGGCTCGAACCGGGGTCGCCGCGGTGGGAAGCCAGCGATTAACCGCCNCACACGCACGAACGCACGCACACACACACACATTAAAAGTAACATATGAACTACAGTTTCGTACACTTTATCTTCTAGTACTGGGTAAGAGAGAGAGAGAGAGAGACACGATACTGATGTCAACAGAAGCAAGAATATTATGAATTTTATATACTTTTCACTCTCTGAGTGAATTGAATTTGGTTTCTTTTGCTCCATCCTTGCTTAATTTAATGTGCACCTCTAATAATGATTTCGAAGTACTTCATTTCGTTATTTTTATGCAGCCAACTGGTCCATATATGTTTTGCTGTTCTCTCCCTATATATAGGTCTGTGTCATGGTTTTTGTTATTGTAGTTCTCTTTCCTTTCTGTCGCCGAAAGACTAGCGTCGAAGTTCACATTATTTTCAGAATAAAAATATTTGTTCTCTAGCTCCAGACATTTGATTAAGATTACTCATTGTTACATTTCTAGAGAGCAAGGAAGTACAATGGCGCCTCAAATGAAAATGTTCAGTCTGTGATTCGCAGTTCTAAGAAAATTTGGGCTTAGGAGAGCTGATTGGCAAAAGTATGGGCTACAAAGAGAAATCCAAATAAGAGCGCAGTCCAGCGCCGCGTGCGTGTGTGTGTAAGTGGGTAACACCCTTGACATACGCAGATGTCAACATTTCTGTCACTCGAGATGAGGTGCCTCTGGCATACAAATGGTCTCTTCTCCTTTTGTTTGCTTCCCGGTCTCTCTGTCATGCCGTTCTCTTCGCCTCTTACATGTTCCGCTCTCAGAGGAGTTCCGGCAATGAATGCTACGCGACAAAGTGGGGAAATTTAAAACGTTTTTAGAGAACCCAATGAAAAGTATGTCCATGTTGGGGTTACATTGGTTGCTTCACCCTAACTCACACCCCCACGAAGTTCCTGTTACCTACTGAAATATGAAATGGTAAATCTATGTGGAGACGCTACATAAGCTGTAAACTTAAAATTATCTCAAACATAGGGAGTTTATTAAATGTCCTTTATCATCACTCTAGGTGTCTTGAAATATTAAATGGAATAAACAATGAGTAGAATGGTAAAGACTGAATCTTTAAGAGCGAGATTCACACACACACCACACACTCACCCATCCACCCACGCAACTATCCATTTGTCCGTCTGTCCTTCCATCCATCTGTCCACCCAGCCCCATTCCTTCTCTCCCACACACACACACACACACACACACCAACCCGTCCATATATATATATATTTTTTACAAAATTGTCAGCCGTTTCAGAACACTCACATATCTGAAACACTGAAAAATAGGTCTATTTACAACACGCCAGGATCATTCTTCTTCTTCTTCTTCTTCTTCTGTTCCTGCTGCTCCCATTTAGAGTATAGGGCATACATGAAACACTTCGTTTCACTTCAATTTCTTAATCTAAGACAGTCAGTAGGATTCCTTGGACGGGGATCAGCCCTTCGCAAGGCAGATACCTAACACAAAGAGAGAATAAACACAAACAGACATCCATGCCTTGAGTGGAATTCGAAATCACGACCCCAGTGTTCGAGCGGGCGAAGATATGAATAACTTTTAAGTACTTAATTATTGTACCAGTTCCTAGGCAAGTTTCAGCCACGTGGAACTTATCTTTAGTTAACTCTTTCCGTCCGTTAGTAGACTCAAACGGGCAAAAGGGTTTATATCAGGACTCTCTGCCAAAAGAACGAAGGACCTGTTAAAATTAAACAGAGACCAATTAAGATGGTTGGTAGGATTACTTACTGGACACTGCCACCTAAAAGGACATCTTTCCAAACTGGGACTGACACAGGACCCAGCTTGTGAGAGGTGCCTACGAGAAGATGAATCAGCAACACACATCTTATGTGATTGTGAGGCTGTAGCTTACCTAAGATACCGCCACCTGAGTCAATTCTTCATGGAACCGAGTGACTTTTATGACGCCCCCGTAAACATAGTCCTACATTTCATTAGAAATGTAGGATTAATAAAGGGTAAATCCAAAGGGGAAGCACAGTTGACCATTGAAGGTGACAGTGCTAGGGCCAGTTTTATGGCTAACCCCTCATACTCATTCCGTCCGTCAGTAAGCACATATGGAATAACCCCAGAACAGATGGACAAATTTTCATGAAGTTCATCTATCATCCGGGGCTGGTACAGTAGGCCAGTTAATGGCCGACGTACAAGGTGGACTCAGTCTCACCCCACCCAAGAAAAAAACTGCTATGATCTTCATGAGGTAAAGACTTTCACGTAAATGCTGCATTGTATTAGTTCCATAGTACCTTATTGCAAAGATTGGCTCAAAATCGTTCCAGTTACTAGAAAATTTGGTTGAATCACCTTATTTTTCTCTTTTTTTTTCACTTGGTACTATTGTTCGGAGTCTTGTTGTGGTGTAGAGCGGTTGTGTCGTGTTTGTGATTTATTTCCTGTACGACTTAGGATTAAGTGAGTTCCGTGAGTGGTGGACGGTTACCCATAAAGAAAAACTAAACAAAGAAAACAAACTCCGTGGCCTTAGCCCGCAAGCGAACTATACCGACCGAGTGACCGCCGCTCGTTGGCGAAGTTAGTGCCAACTTTTGGAGGACAGGGGGTGTCACGTCAACGCAACGGATTCCTACGGTCGTTAATCAGAAAATTAACTAAAATAAGTGCATTTCTTCATTGCAGGAGGAGCGCTGTTGTGATACATTTTGAAGCGGTGATGGACATTCTATCGTGAGTACTAAAGTATTCTATCCTGATGGACCAGGGTGCTCTGATGTACAAATGAAAGCAAGCAGACGGACCGATGAATGTTCTAATCTTGTATTCTTTTTGTCCGAACGATTTTTTAGCAAATAATTTGAAACAGCTCTTTGTATAGATATGCTTATATTTACACGGGAATAATTGGAAACAAATAAACTGAAATTAAAAACTCTCAATTTATATGTGAAGATTCTGTTGTAAGGATTTCGGAATCCTGGACACAAATTGATACAAAAATTTATATTTTCAATTATCCTAACCTCTCTTGGATAAATTAGGAAATAACATCTCGCAAGTCTGCCTCTACTTTGCAGTATATGTTAAAAATCGCAGTCCTGTCCGTTTATCATGTAGAATGTACAGTGAAATATTTTGTGAATGAATATTCAGCCGGAAAAGTAGACCTTTCTTTCCGTAAAATGAAAATTAACGGACGGTTGCGTTGACTGGAAAACTCACTGTACAGCATCTTGAATTAACACAACATCTTTGAAGAAATTCAAATAGGCCTATATTAAATTTGCAACGTTTTGTGCAGTAAACACTTGCTTTAGTAAATACGCCACTGACACGCGTTTGAACGGCGCTTTATAGCGTCCGTGTAGCTACCTAAAAGAGCTTCACCTTAGTTTCCCTGCCTATCACAACTGAAGCGTGCTTGTCTGAATCAGACACTAGAGCTCCAACCAGGAATTAGACACGGGCAATATTCCTTGCACTTGATGTTTGTTAATTGCTTTGTGTTGGTCTTTGAGCGATTATGGTCATTATATTATTTCCTGAGCGAAACGGCTTTAATATGTTTAAATTTCACTGGCGTCGGATTTCCTCTGAAGGAATACTAATTGGGTTATAGTACATTAGGATGGACTGGATATATCTAAGGACTATTTGAATTGCAAATCTGGACACTCGAGAGATGAATGAATACTTGAAGAGCAGTAAACCTGTGTTCTACACTGTCGTCTTGACATTTCGTGCGTCGATTCGGGAATATGAATAAGGGAATGAAGTTAGCGGATCGATTTATTTTCGGGCGGGGCTTAATTTGAGCTTATCCCAGTCAGGTTCTTCGATGTATTGTGGGACTTCAACCCAACTGTAACTTTAGAAGCTATCGATTGTACTACAATATTTTAAAATTAAATTTTACGTGTAACAAACTGCCAACTAGGACAGAGTTCCTGGCCTCAGATAGAGAGGTCCGGGTTCGATTCTCGGCGCTATCAGAAATAGTCGGTCTGGAGCGGGGTACACTCAACCTCGTAGGGATAATTGAGGAGCTGTTTCAAGGAAATAGCGGATCCGATCTAGAAAACCGAAATTAATGGCCGTGGGGATTCGATGCGCTGATCACGCGACACCCTCTATCCGCTAAATTTGACACTAACTTCGCCGTCAAGCAGCGGTCTCTCGGTCGGTATAGTTCGCTTGCGGACTAAAACCACGGAGTTTATTTGTTTTGTTTTGTGTAACAAACTGGGCTATACACATATGTTATATTACACATAATATTTAGTTAGACTGAAATGGACAAATTTAAATTTCCGAGGTTTGAAGTTTATAAACATCAGCAAGTTTTTTTTTATAAACTGTGAAATTTGCCATAAAATGATTATAAAATCCTCATGACGACGCGAGTGAAAATAGAAGAGTGAACATAAAATTTTACTGATTAACAATTTTAGATTATATTTGCAGAAAAATATTTTACTAAAATCGCAACTTTAAAACCAAAATCGTAAATGAATTTCACCTGAAGACGGAGGTGTACAAATATATTCGGAGCTTGCGGAATTTATTTAAGGAATTAAAATGAAAAAAAATATAAAGCTTCCATATTTCTGTTGACCAGTGGAAACTCTATGCAGCACTGATACGCGTTATGTATTCTGTTGCTTTATCATACCTAAGAAATGTATTTGCATTTAGCATCCGTATTTTTAAAACTAAGACATGTGCGCACGTTTACTCTTTAAGTTGAAAATAATATTTATCGAAACACGCATTTAAACTTAGTTCACAAGAATAATTTAACTACCAGAAGCTTAAGCTACATATTTCTGTTATAACTAGGACTCTGAGAACTAATTAGCAGAAACCGCTACACCCATTTTTTTTCCTTGGCACTACAGCCCCAGTGGGCCTAGGCCTACCTCCATGAACTTCTCCGTTCACTTTGGTTTTTCTAGCTCTTACACATTCGGTAGGACTCCTTGGGCGGGTGATCAGCTCGTCGCAAGACCTCTACCTGTACACAAACACAGAAAAACGCACACACACACACACACACTCACACAGACTTAACATCCATGCCCTGAGTGG